CACACGCTCACACGCTCATACGGACATACCCACACACATATACCCACACACATACTCACGCACACTCGCGCGCGCACACACACGCACACGCAGACGCACGCACGCACTCATACGCACACGCTCATACAGACAAACTCACACACACATACCCACGCACACACACACGCACGCACGCACACACACACACACACACACACATAAAAATGCGACCCTAAAGAATTATTGCCGTGGATACTCTAAAATAGAATATTCCCAATATCCTCATTGTTACCATGTTCAACGTCTGATAACTCGAAAAGTAGATGGTTTCGGACTTAGTGCCCAATAACACTTTTGATCAAGAGATTATGAAGTACAACATACTGCAGTTTCAACCAATTTGACCAAAATCCATTTTCCCTATGGCTGGGCCCGGGGTCCTTTAAAACTCAATCCAAAAAAATGTACTTTCTTCGGGAGAAAAGTGAAATACTTAAGCCATGTCGTTTCAAAAAGAGGAATCTCCATTGATTCGGAGAAAATTAAGACCGTTCAAGAGTGGCCTATTCCTCAAAATAAGAAGCAAGTGCGAAGTTTCTTGGGACTCTGCTCTTATTATAGGAAATTTGTGAAGGGATTTTCTCTTATTGCTAAGCCATTATTTTCTTTAACTGAGAATCTTAGAAAGGAGGGGTGTCAATAAGGCCGTTTTTTGGCTTACGTCAGAATCGCTCCAAACTGTGGTATTTTCTTCCTACCGATGTAGCTTACAATCTCCTAGAACCGTTTGCTGTCCGAGCAATTAGAGGCTGAGAACGGGCAACTTGAAATCTCAAAAATCAATGGATTTTTTCACATGGTGGTAGTGCCGGTCTCATTTCAGCATGTCTCACACACACACACACACACACACACACACACACACACACACACACACACACACACACACACACACAGACGAGCCTTCGGCCCCCCCTCGCACCCCCCCCGTGGTTGAAAGCGTGGAACTCGCTTTACAACTTACAAAGTACATGCTAAGTTGTAAAGCGCGTCATGAACCCATGTGGTACCTCGTTCCGCGTGGACACACACACACACACACACACACACAGATGAGGCGATGCGAGGGAGGGCCGAAGGCTCGCACCCCCCCCGTGGTTGAAAGCGTGGAACTCGCTTTACAACATAAAGTGCCCGATTGTACGGTGCGCAATTGTACGATGCGCGATTGTACGGTGCGCAATTGTACATACGGTGCGCGATTGAACGGTGCGCGATTGTACGGTGCGCAATTGTACGGTGCGCGATTGTACGGTGCGCGATTGAACGGTGCAAGAATGTACGGTGCGCAATTGTACATACGGTGCGCGATTGAACGGTGCGCGATTGTACGGTGCGCGATTGTACATACGGTGCGCGATTGTACGGTGCGCGATTGTACATACGGTGCGCGATTGAACGGTGCGCGATTGTACGGTGCGCGATTGTACATACGGTGCGCGATTGTACGGTGCGCAATTGTACGGTGCGCGATTGTACGGTGCGCGATCGTACGGTGCGCAAAAACCGTGTCCAATGCAACATACGTTTATTTATTTAAATAAGTTAATAATATGTGTTGTGTCCAAAAGCAACGGTGTCCAATTGTACTGTGCGCCAATGAAATGTGTCCAAACAAATTGTGCGCGATTGTACGGTGCGCGATTGTACGGTGCGCGACTTTATGTGTCCAATAGTACTGTGTGCAATTGCAACGTGCGCAATTGTACTGTGCGCCAGTGAACCTCTCCCATTTTTGCCTCCCTCTCTTTCCCTCTACTTCCCCATTCTCTCCTTTCCTCCCTCCTCTATCTCCCGCTCTCCCTCTTTCCCTCCCCCACCCTCCCTTTCTCCGTCCTTTCCAATGGCATGCTGAAATGAGACCGGCACTACCACCATGTGAAAAACTTCATTGATTTTTGAGATTTCAAGTTGCCCGTTCTCAGCCTCTAATTGCTCGGACAGCAAACGGTTCTAGGAGGTTGTAAGCTACATCGGTAGGAAAAAAATACCACAGTTTGGAGCGATTCTGACGTAGGCCAAAAAACGGCCTTATTGACACCCCTCTTTTGTGTGGGATGGGCGTTGTCAAGAAGCTTTTGAGAAGCTTAAACAAAACTTAATTTCTCCTCTTATTTTAGCTTTTCCAATAGAAAAAGGGGAATTTATTCTTGATACTGACGCTTCAAATCACGGCTGGGCGCGGTACTTTCTCAAATTCAGGATAGTAGGGAGAGGGTCTTAGCTTATTATTGTCGGGTTTTGAGCAAGTCTGAAAGGAACTATTGCGTAACTCATCGGGAGCTGTTAGCTTTGGTGGAGGCTTTGAAGACCTTCTATCACTATTTATATGGACGTGAATTCTCGGTTAGAACGGATCATATTTCGTTACGCTGGTTGATGTCTTTTAAAAATCTAGAAGGGCAGTTAACACGTTAGATGGAACGCCTACAACAATTTAATTTCGTAGTCAAGCACCGAGCAGAAAAGGTGCACGCAAACGCTGACGCGTTGTCTAGGCGTCCATGTGCGGAAGGAAACTGCAGATATTGTGATAAAGTGCAGATGGGGGAAGAAAGTATTGTAAGAGGAGATGTTAGAAAAATAATCTTCAAAGAAATTGAATCTGCGGACTGGAAAAGAATGCAATTGGAGGACCCTTCAATTGTAGGAATTTATCGCGGAAAAGAGGAGAATAGGCGACCTCTTCGTCAAGAAATAGCTCAGAGAAATTCGACTGCTAAGGACTATTGGCTCCAATGGGATTCCCTGGTGATTAAAGACGGGATTTTGTGTAGGAAATGGGAGTCTCCAAATTTATGTTTCGTTGTTTTTCAAACTATAGTTCCTCGAGGAATGATTTCGCGAATTTTAGAAGAAGCTCATGACTCTTCCACAGGTGGTTATTTTGGTGTCAATAAGACCTTAGAGGAGATCCGGAAACATTTTTATTGGGCTTTCTGTAAGCAGGATGTCGATCATTGGTGTAGGACTTGTAAAGTTTGCGTTTCAAAGAGAGGGCCATCTGATAAAGGAAAGTCTTCTATGCAAATTTACAATGTCAGTGCGTCTTTCGAAAGAATTCAAATGGATGTTCTTGGTCCCCTTCCAATTTCTTCTTCGAGAAATAAATATCTGTTGGTGGTTACGGACTGTTTCACGAAATGGGTGGAAGCTTTTTGCTTGAAAATATTAGGGCTAAAACGATTGCGAAGTTTTCTTGAGTCAAGTGGTTTCTAGATACGGCATTTCTTTGAAATTACATACTGACCAAGGAAAAAATTTTGAATCTTGATTATTCTTGGAACTAACTCAGTTATTGGGAAATAAAAAAACAAGAACTACTCCATTTCACCCTCAATCCAATGGTCAGGTGGAACGTCAACATCAGACGTTGTTAAATTATCTGGCAAAGTTTGTTGCTGAAAATCAACGAGATTGGGATTGTTGGATTCCATTAGGGTTGTTGGCGTATAGGTCTTCTAAACACTGAAACTACTGGTTTTACTCCTTCTGAATTGCATTTAGGTCGGGAGTTAAGATTACCCTTGGATCTACTTCGCGGACATCCTCCTGGTTCTGAGACTATTCCTTCGGAAAGAGAATATTTCCGTCACTTGAAAGGAAAAATGGATCTTATTCATAACATTGTATGTCAACGTATGGAAATTAAGTCTAAAAAAGCCAAGGCGTTTTATGATCGGAAAGATAGACAATTATGCTATGAGCCTGGGCAAAAGGTCTGGTTATTTAATCCTCGAAGAAAAATAGGAATAACTCCTAAGTTACAAAGTAATTGGGAAGGTCCTTTTGAAGTCGTTAAAAGAATAAATGATGTAGTTTATTGCATTCGTAGGTCTAAACGGCATAAGAACAAAGTCGTTCATTTAGATAGATTAGCTACTTTTTATGAGAGGTAATTCCTTTTGAATCACGATTTTCATCCGGAGCGCGGAGCCCGAAAAATTTCAATTCATTTAATTAATTTTTAGGTTTTTAAGAAAAATATATTTTTCTTTTGTTGTTACTTTCAGCTACTTTTCCGGGAAGATGGTGCCTAACAACATCAAGCGAAAATATTAGCTGAAAGAAGACCGCCTTGCCCACGGTTTTTGATCGTGGTTTTTCCGTGAAACTTAGGGCAAATGCCAAGGCGGGGACTGGGGAGTCTTGCGAAACGCAGGGTCCACGAAAGCTTCCCCCTCCAGTCCGAAGACTCTCAAGAGGACAGCGCTGGTAGCAGAAGGAAAGCCGACGTTGAAGAGGTTTACACGTGGAAAGAAGCGTTTTTTGGATTGAGGGAAGAAACGAAGCTCCTTAACTCGCAGCTTAACTCGAGGTAGAGCAGGAAGCGTTTCAAGTTCCCGGAAATCTAAGAGAAAGAAACTGCTTGCAACTTTCCTCTAGTTGTCGGGACGACAACTTAAGAAGAGGGGGACAATGTTACGCCCGTGCTGGACACTGAGTAGAGAAGTCGCGGAAAGCTGGGAAGCGCGCTCCTTGACAACGGCAGTTTGTTGATGGATTTATTGATTTTCTGTCTGGCGGATTTTTGGAATCCGCACGCGTTCTGTTTTACGAGCTTGGAATAAACGCATTTCTTAAGTTCTTTTGAGTTCTCTTTCCTTTTGCGAGTTCCGCGAAATACGTGCGCGAGTGTGGAGTGCGCGATAGTGTTACGGCGGCGAGCTTACTCGACGAGCGTAACAATATATATATATATATATATATATATATATATATATATGGAATATATAGAGAGATATATATATATATGGAATATATTAAGAGATGCATACCATATTTTTATTTTTTAGGTGCTTTGTCACCCAACGGTTACTGCAGACCTTTTGATATCGCTGCAAACGGTTATTCACGTAGCGAAACGATAGGAGTGATATACCTTCAAAAAGCAAAGAATGCAAAAAGGATTTATGCTATATGTCCTCATATTAAAACAAACAACGATGGTTACAAGGAAGAAGGAATAACACATCCATCGATGCTTGTGCAAAGTACTTTGCTAACGGAATTTTACGATGAGTGCAGAATATCAACATCTTGCTTAGATTACATTGAAGCACATGGTACCGGTACTAAAATCGGCGATCCTCTAGAAGTCAATGCTATTTCTAACGCTTTGTGCAAGAATAGAAAAACTCCATTAATGATCGGCTCCGTAAAATCCAATCTTGGTCATACTGAAGCTGCAAGTGGTTTTACTCAAATCGCTAAGGTAAAACAAGTAATTTTCGCATTTATTTATTATTTTAAAATTTATGTTTATTTTACGCAATACAAACGCACGCACGCACACAGAAAGATTTATTATACGTAAAAATTGTTTGACAAGTTCGTACTCGAGCACGAAGGTTAAAGGATCGCGAGACCTTCTATTAGATTCTATTACACAGTTATCTCTAGAATTAACATAATTAGGTACATATGGAGGGGTAAAAACCGTAGTGGTGTGTCAAACTTTTTTAAAATATTGATTTGTGTGCATAGATGCAATCTATACAATGTATGTATAAATTGTATCTATGCACACAAGTCAATATTTTAAAAAATTTAACTTACACCACTATGGCTTTTACCCCTCCATATAATATACGGTAAGTAAAATTTTGATCGATAAATAATTTTGACAAATAAAGATGTACCATCTTTGGTTGAGCTGGATTTTTTTGTGGATTTATTTTAAGTTTATTTTAAGTTAAAAATTTTTTACAGTGACTTAAATGATGCTGATTCATTAACACCAATAAATTAAATCAATTTAAATATGTTGAACTTATTGTTCCAACGAAAAACTGTGTTTCAAGACTGACGAATAATCGGCACTCAGTTTTAGTGAAAAAAGTATATAAATTCACACAAAAACAATATTAAAAAGATTTATATATTTTGACCAAACTGACTTTAATATCGAAGATTCTTACATTAACTCGACGTTTCGACACTGGTTTTTTGGCTAAAATAATTCGTGAACATGATGAGATAAGTAGATATTTCTTTTTTAATTGTTCCTTGTGCGACATTCGTTTCTGTAACGATGTGTTTGTGTTGAATATGTATTTCTGTGCACATCGTACATTGGCATTCTTTCTGTATTATAACGACATCTAACGTCTACCGGTACCGGCGATATACTTCCCCTTTTTTTGGGCACGTTCGCGCATCATGTACATGTATTATTGAGACCTGTCCGTCTCTCGACCCTCATTCTTTCGAACGATCGCGGACACGATACATGTGTTGTGTACTCACGTTCCGTGCGCGCCGGATAGACTCACTTACTTCAATAAATTCGTGTTGTATTATCAATATCTCGCGATCTCGATAATTTCCTATACCGAACCTTTCGATCCTACAGACGGGAATCTCAACAGGTTATGGGCCCAGGCACGGTGTCTGGTTTCGGTGTCGGAAAATTGTGCGAGTGAGTTTCATAGGTGCCATCGAGAAAGTGAACGGGCGACTCGTTAACGACAACGTGGTTGCGCCATTTTCGTTCGAACAAACGGGACTCCTCCGTGCGCTATAGTGACGGAAAGAGCAGAAATCGTGGACAAATTTATAGCGGGATATAAGCAATGGCCAACGTCGACGTTAAGCAGATTACGAAATTTGACGGTACAAATTTCCAGCTCTGGAAATTCCAGATTACCACTGCGTTGGTGGCAAAGGAGCTCAAAGGCTACGTAGATGGAACGATAGTTCCACCGAAACCCATGGACGCCACATTTGCCGCCTGGACGACGAACAATGCTGCCGCTATGTGCTTAATCTCCACAACAGTCGAGTATTCGCAACTCGAATACTTAATTACGTGTGACACTGCTAAAGGGATATGGGATAAACTCACAAGTATCCACGAACAGACTTCAGCGTCGAATTTATTACATTTGAATCAGAAATTTCATGCTTACAGCATGAGCTCGTGTGACAGTGTGGCTCAACACATAGCGAAGGTTGAGAACATGACACGTCAACTTAGAGACCTTGGAGAACGGATCTCGAACACGGCATTGATGGCCAAGATACTCGGTAGTCTTCCTTCGAAGTTTAACGCGTTGGTGACCGCATGGGACAGTGTGCCCTTGGAATATCAAACAGTTGATAATTTACGTGAACGGTTAATCAAGGAAGAGAACAGACTAACGAATGACGATGACAAAGCTGCTGCTTTGAGTGCAGTAGATCGAAACGCATCAAGCACGAAGAAAACGGGGAAAGGAAATTCGTGTAAAAAATCGAACAAGACAGTCAAATGCTATTATTGCGGTATAACCGGGCATTTGATCAGATCGTGTCGGAAACGGAAGAGTGATAACGGTGACAAAGATGGCGAAGCCAACGTGAGTGCACTCGTCGCTGTTGAGAGTTTCGAGCCAAAGGACATGTTCGCGTTAAATGCTGTAAATCGCGAAAAAGAACGATTCTTGAATAACGATACTCGAGACACGTGGTACGGAGATAGTGCGTGTTCGCGCTATATAACATTTCGTCGTGATTGGTTCTCAAATTTCAAAGAGTGCTCGGGATCCATCATTCTCGGTGACGATGGCGCGTGCGCGGTGAATGGTTCCGGTACAGTGCCAATCAAAAGTTTGGTTAATGGACAATGGCTAAACTTTAATATCGAAAACGTGGCGTATGTCCTGAATTTTCGAAAGAATTTATTTTCTCTCGAGCTGTGCACGGAAAAAGGCTTGAAAGTGGTGCTCACAAAAGAATCCATTCAAATTGTACGTGATGGTAAAGCCATTATAGAGGGTGTCAAGCAGAGCAACCAATTGTACAGACTGTACATCGAACCAGCGAGCAAAGTCCAAGACGAAGTACACGCGACGACGACGGAGAAAAACAGCCTGCGACTTTGGCACGACCGCTTGGGTCATATAAACAAGCAAGCAGTACAGAATTCGGTCAAGTTGACTAACGGCATGAAAATAGATGATACAAAAGATTTCTTTTGTGCGCCATGTCAAATCGGAAAATCACATCGACTCACATTTCCGAAAAACAAAACACGAACGAGACGGGAGCCAGGTGAATTCATCCATAGCGATGTATGCGGCCCCATGTCAGTGAGTTCCCTGGGAGGAGCGAGATTATACGTGTCCTTCAAGGATGATGCGTCCGGGTATCGACACGTTTATTTCATTAAGCATAAGTCAGATGTGCTAGATCGCTTTCGTGAGTACGAACAGTTGGTGAAAAATAAATTTAATAAACCAATCAAAACCCTCAGGGTCGATAACGGACGCGAATATATAAACAATCCAATGAGGCTGTTCCTGGCAGAAAGAGGTATCCAACTGGAAACTACGGCACCATACACACCGGAGCAGAATGGGCGATCAGAACGCGACAATCGGACAATTGTCGAATCAGCTTTAACGATGCTCGAGGCCAAGGGTTTACCACGATTTTTATGGGCAGAAGCCGTCAACACGGCAATCTACGTCATTAACAAGACGGCGACATCTCAAGTTGAGAGAGCAACACCATATGAGATCTGGCACGGCAAAAGGCCCGATCTTTCGCACATCAGGGTGTTTGGATCAGAAGCCTACTCGCATGTACCGAAAATACAGCGAACAAAACTGGATCCAAAAGCCAAAAAAGCAATTTTGGTTGGCTATCAAGGAGAGTCGCGAAATTATCGACTCTATGATTCCTCGTCGAAGAAACTCTACGTCAGCAGAGACGTCACGTTCGACGAGACATCGACGTGTGATAGCAAGAAAAGAGACGCAGTCGACATCGAGTTCAAGATACCGGCGAAAGCGGTTCCTGTTCCGGCAGAAGAAGATGACATCGCTCCAGCAGAAGAAGACGACGTCATTCCAGTGGGAGTGACTGGTGAGCAAGTGCAAGGGCATGACAGATTGCCCCGATTGAGAGATCGTCAATTAGTGCATCCTCCCGAGAGATTCGAAGCGCATTTTGTCGAATTTCATGAGCCAACTACATACAACGAAGCCGTTAACGGTAAAGACGCAACGGAATGGCAGCGCGCTATCCAAGATGAGCTCGACGCTCATGAGAAAAATGGAACTTGGTCCGTTGTTCCACTTCCCAAGGAGAAGAAGACCATCGATTCTCGTTGGATCTTCAAGGTCAAAAGGTCACCGTCCGGTGACATTCAACGTTACAAGGCACGCCTCTGTGCTAGAGGTTTTTCGCAGCAAGCAGGAGTCGACTACAAGGAGACGTTTTCCCCTGTCGTAAGGTACGACAGTCTGCGCGTCCTGCTGGCTGTTGCGACGGAGATGGATCTGGAGGCCGGTCAATTCGACATCAAAACGGCTTTCCTCTATGGGGAGCTGTCCGAAGAAATCTACATGAAAGTGCCAAGTGGGTTGAACGTGAAGGGTAAAGATGTTGCGTGTAAACTAGTGAAAGCGTTGTACGGGTTGAAGCAGGCGTCGCGCTGTTGGAACTTGAAGTTTAAGTCATTTTTGAAACAATTTAATTTTGAGGCTTGCGATGCAGATAAATGCATCTATAAAGGTATAATTAACGGTTTAATTGTATTCCTCGCATTGTATGTGGACGATGGTCTAATTTTAGCGAAAACTATAGATGCAATTAACGTTGTCATAGATGCACTCCGCAAGTCATTCGACATAACGGTCGAGAAATCGAACATTTTCGTGGGCTTAGAATTTGAGCGTGATCGTAAAATTAAAACAATGTCGATTTATCAACATAGATATATTGATAAAATTATTGCACGATTCAATATGATCGAATCGCGACCTTTGAGCGTACCAGCGGATCCGAATGTAAGTTTAACGTCTGCTGAGAAAAATAATGATTTTGACTTGAAAGTGCCTTATCAGGAGGCAGTCGGAAGTTTAAACTTTTTGGCAATTGTAAGTCGTCCTGACATATCATACGCGGTAAATGTAGTCAGTCGTCACTTGTGTAATTATTCTCGAGATCACTGGGAAGTGGTAAAACGTATAATTCGCTATCTGAAAGAAACGAGAGATTTATCACTAATTTATCGGAGCGAGGGAGTGAATTCATTTCCAGTTGCGTACTCAAATGCGGACTATGCGGGCGACGTCGACACGCGACGATCTACTTCCGGTTATATATTTTTATTGAACGGTGGTCCAGTGATCTGGGGATCACAACGACAAAGTATTGTTTCATTAAGTACAACCGAGGCAGAGTATGTATCGGCATGCACTGCAGCAAAGTAAGCAGTTTGGTTGAAACAACTGCTCAAAGACATGGAATACCGATGTGAGGGTCCGATTGTCTTAAACGTGGATAATCAGAGCGCAATACGCCTCATTAAGAATCCCGAATTTCATAAAAGGACAAAACACATCGGTGTTCGGTATCATTTCATACGGGAAAAATACGATAACGGCGAGATAGATGTGAAGTACGTAAATACCGATATGCAGCTCGCAGCTCTATTTACAAAAGCATTAAGGAAAGATAGATTCAGAATGTTGAGAGAGTGTATTGGTATGTTTTGAGTGTGAAGAATGTACTGTGTGAGTGGGAGTGTTGAATATGTATTTCTGTGCACATCGTACATTGGCATTCTTTCTGTATTATAACGACATCTAACGTCTACCGGTACCGGCGATATACTTCTCCTTTTTTTGGGCACGTTCGCGCATCATGTACATGTATTATCGAGACCTGTCCGTCTCTCGACCCTCACTCTTTCGAACGATCGCGGACACGATACATGTGTTGTGTACTCACGTTCCGTGCGCGCCGGATAGACTCACTTACTTCAATAAATTCGTGTTGTATTATCAATATCTCGCGATCTCGATAATTTCCTATACCGAACCTTTCGATCCTACAGACGGGAATCTCAACAGTTTGTAATAACTTCGTTATGTATACTTTTTAGAAATCTCTTGATAAGGACACAAAACCAGTGTCGAAACGTCGAGTTAATGTAAGAATCTTCGATATTAAAGTCAGTTTGGTCAAAATATATAAATCTTGTTAATTTTTCACTAACGAAGAAAATAATATTAAGCTATAAAGATCCAGCTCGACCAAACGTGGCATATCACTACTTATTTATCAATAATATATGAGTCAATATCTAATAATTTAATTCATATTTATTACATTTTATAATTGTTATTTATTTTTAAAGGCAATAATAGCATTTGAAACCGGTTTTGTTCCACCAAATATCAATTATACATCACCACGAAATATAGATGCCTTAATAAATGGAACTGTTCGTGTCGTCGAAGAATCGATGCCACTTAAAAACGGTTATATAGGTATCAATTCTTCCGGTTTCGGGGGATCTAATGTTCACATGTTATTAAAGTGGAACCCCAAACAAAAAGTTAACAATGGAACACCGAGTAATGACTTGCCAAGACTTGTAATATTATCTGGGAGCACTGAAGAATCAGTGAAGTTATTCTTAAATGATGTTAGTAAACATTTTGAAACCAATCTCAACAAGATCTTTTTAGTGATTAATCATTATATCATACTTTTTGCTTTAAAAAACTTTCGATTATAGGTCGCTAATCGTCCGATAAATATAGAATATATCCGTTTAATACACGACGTCTATACGGACAGCATAGATGGTCACTTATGGAGAGGATTCACTATACTAAATATTTTGCAACAAGATTCAATAAGAGAAATTCAAAATTGCGAGAATGCGAAAAGACCTGTTTGGTTTATATTTTCTGCTTTAGGCTCGCAATGGCCAGGAATGGGTATATATGTATTTAATATTCCATACTTTATTTACAGCATTTAAATAATAATATATTTTTTTAATTAAAATCAGGTCGAAATTTATTAAAATTTCACGTCTTTGCAAATGCGATAAGAGTGTGCGACGTTACTTTAAAACCATATGGTATAGGTGTCGCGGATATTTTGACAAAGACAGACGAAAAAGTGTGCAAAGACGCGTTACATGCGTTTGTTGGCATTGTCGCTATTCAGGTAAAATATACTTTGAAGCTATAAAATAATGTCAATTATACTATATTTATTGATGAATATATCAGCAATATAAATTCTTTCTATGTTATTTTATCCTACTACAGTGGAATTATCATCTTACATAACTTACATTTATTTCACCACACTTTATTGATTTATTAGAAATGAATTTTTCAAAGTAATTCAGCTATAAAATTATTTGTATAAATTTGTAGATTGGTTTAGTAGATCTCCTAACATCATTAGGAATTATTCCGGATTACATGATTAGTCACTCTGCTGGTGAACTTGGTTGCGCGTACGCCGATGGATGTCTCACTATTGAACAAACTATTTTATCAGCATATTTTATTGGTTTGGCGTGTGCCGAAAGAAAAATAATTCGTAGCTCTATGGCAATTGTTAGTCTTGATTACGAGTGTCTCAGAAACATGTGTCCAGTGGATATTGAAATAATATGTCGCAATAGCGAGAATAGCAGCGTTGTGAGCGGACCCGCAGAATCCGTGCAAAAATTTATGAAAATCTTGCAGGTAGGATTGAATAGCTCTCATACTTTATAAGCAAATAGAAAACTTCGTTTAATAATCTTTAAAATATCGAACTTGCCGCATGTGCATATATTAAATTTGTACTTTTGTATTGTTAGATCAATAATATTCACGTGAAAGAGGTACACTGCAATGTACCGTATCACACTTTTTATCTCGCATCTGTAAAAATTCAACTTTTGCTTAATTTAAACAAAGTAATATCACGGCCGAAGAAACGGAGTCCAAAATGGATCAGCACTTCCGTACCTCGCACCGAATGGTTTACCTCAGCATCAAAATTATCATCGGCGGACTATCATACACATAGTATATTAAATACCGTTCTCTTTGAACAAACAACGCATCTAATTTCAAGTAACGCAGTGACCATCGAAATTGCGCCAGATAGCGTTCTGCAGCACGTTCTGAAAGAATCCTTGTGTTCGGAAGTAATGAACGTTGTATTGACTCGACGCACTGAACAAAATATTGACGTAATTTTACAAGGAATTGGAAGGCTGTATAACTGTGGCTTACAGCCGAAAGTTGCTAATTTATACCCGCCAGTGGAATATCCTGTTAGTCGAGGAACTCCTATGATTTCCCCATCGATCAGGTACAAGATATTATTTGAAATCGCAATTTAGATGATGTCTACATAAAAGAAATTATAAATATACATATTTTTATATTATTTATAATTATATTGTATTTATTAATATAATATATATTATTAATTATAATTATATTTATTAGGTAATAAATTAATATTATCGAATCTGTTATTATTATTTAAATATATATTACATATATAAATAATAATATATATTTCTTATATATGTAATTATATAATGTAAAAACAAGCATTCTAATGCCACATTAGATGGGATCACTCCAAAGATTGGTATATACCGTGTTCTGAAACACAAATGTCCATAAAATCTCGAGAAAGATATGTCAAAATTTCACTCGACGATGAAGACTACTATTATATGCACGGTCATATAATCGATGGAAGAAATTTGCTACCCGCGACAAGTTATCTTGTACTCATTTGGCAAACTTTTGGTATGATGAAAGGGATAACATACACAACAATACCGATAATATTTCGAGATGTAAACTTTATTCGCGCTACTCACTTGACGAAAAGTAATGCTGTAAAATTGATGATTGCGATACAGAAAGGTATTTATAAGATGAGTTATTTTAAAGTAGCATAATCGTATAAGAATGTATGTAAAATAATCGAATATATAAAAATATTACAGATGGGAAGTTTGAAATAACCGAAAGAGATAGCGTTGTTGTGACAGGTACAGTGCACGAGATATCGAATCCAGAACAGGAAATGATTCGGACAGATCTATTGCCGGAAATTAACAATGAAGAAGAATATATGACTGCTCGAGATATTTATAAGGAGTTGAGACTGCGTGGTTACCAGTACAGCGGCTGGTTTCACAGATTATATAGCGCATCTATTTCAAACAATAAAGGACATATTGTTTGGAAAACGAATTGGGTAACGTTTATGGATACTATGATACAGATGTTTGTTATTGGGTATGATACCCGGGAATTATGTGTTACGACGAGTATTCAGAAGTTGGTGATCAATCCTAAGCTTCATGCATCGATGCTACGAAACAGCGTGGTTGGCGTGGAAGATACGACATGCAAGGATAAAAGTAAGTGTTCTTGAATCACTTGTTGAGCTATTTTGTTTTGACGAATGTCGCGTAAAAAAATCTCTGATGTGATATATAAAACGTATTATTTTGTCTTATTGCAGCATTACCGATACGAATATACAGAGAACTAGACACGATTATAGCTGGCGGAATAGAGATTCGAGGTATTAAAACCACTCAGATCTCTCGCCGAAGATTGGCTCAGGATGTTGTTATCGAAGAACACGTATTTGTAGCTCATCATGATCGCGCTAAGATTTCTTTGAACGAAGCGATTCGAATATCGGCGCAACTCGCGCTGGAAGATCATCAAATCATCAAATTGAAAACCATCGAGCTAGTAGAAGATGTCGACGATGTCGCACCAGAATATCTCTCTTCTTCGTTGCTGCTTGAGGCTTTTGATAATGTGCCATTGATACAAACAAACATCATTGTATTAACATCGCCGAATCGTTTTAGTCCAGCAGATCTACCGCAGAACATTTCAATTAGAGATTTAAACAAACCATTTGTAGATGACAAAGCCTTAATAGTTGCCGGATTCAACCTTTTAACCAAGCAACAAACCTCGTTAGAACGACTTTTATCATTTCTGAGAGAAGGTGGTTATCTGTTGTCACGTGAGAAATGCGACGTAGTTAACTACACCAAATATTTACAGCAATACGAATTAAATGTTATTCTTGAAAAGCGCACCGACAAAGAAATGATTGTGCTTCTGAAAAAGAAAATTCAAATAGAAAAGAGAATTGTTGTCTACATAAATAATGATAATTTTAATTGGTTGGAGGATCTAAAGCTGCTTGTGAGCGATGAGAATAAACTCGAAAAAAAGAGTAGGATTATAATTGTTGGAGAGAGAGATTTTGAGTGCGGTTTATTAGGTTTTGTTAACTGTTTGAGAAAAGAGCCGGGCGGAGAGTTTGTTAGAGGTGTGCTTATTCAAGATGAGCGAGTCCCTAAGTTTTCTCTACAGGATCCCTTCTATATACATCAATTGCAAAAAGATATGTTCATTAATGTATTGCGATCTAATGAGACCTGGGGATCATACAGACATTTGCGATTACCACGACCGGAAGCCGAACCCGTACCTACCGCTCATGTATGCCAAACGGTATGTCATACGTATCTTTTCAAACCATATTAATATACTTTATCATTGTACAGTAATATTATGTATTTTCGTCTTTTGAGTATTGTCACACGATATAAAATTTTGTTTTATATATATGTCACGTATAGGTTCGTGGTGATCTAGGTACATTTTGTTGGATAGAGAACAGTCTATCTGTCGAAGCCCGTCATGAGGATTTGGTGCGTGTGGTTTACTCATCGCTCAATTTTAAAGATGTAATGCTTGCGACTGGTAAATTAGTATCTGATCAAGCGATCTCGCGAGGACGGTTTCAATGTACTCCTCTTGGATTTGAATACGTAGGATTCGATGCCAATGGGCAACGTGTAATGGGAATCCGTGATACCGAGTAAATAATGCTCCAAAAAATAATTACGTTGCGTAATATTATAGAATTAAAACTAAATTAAGATTATTCTTTCTAGTTGTATTGCAAACGTCGTTGTAAAAAATAAAGATTTCTGCTGGAAGATACCCGATGCGTGGACATTCGAAGCGGCGGCGACGGTCCCGTGCGTTTACAGCACGGTTTACTTAGCCTTATACATACATGGGAAAATGAAAAAAGGCAATAAAATACTTATACACTCTGGTACTGGCGGTATTGGACAAGCAGCTATTCACCTCGCTCTCAAAGAAGGATGCGAGGTGTTCACTACTGTGGGCACGAGAGACAAACGGAACTTTATTAAGAAGATGTTTCCGATTATTCTGGATAAACATATTGGAAATTCACGAGATACCAGCTTTGAACAAATGATAATGCGAGAAACAAACGGTCGCGGCGTCGACATTGTGTTAAATTCATTGGCAGAAGAAAAGTTAATCGCGTCCATTCGTTGCTTGGCGCAAAATGGTCGTTTTCTGGAAATCGGCAAATTTGATTTTATTTCTAACAATCCGCTAGGTATGTCTGTGTTTCAGAAAGGTATTAGCTTTCATGGAATTCTACTCGATAATATGATGTGTCGTGGCAATCACAAGTATAAGTCGCTGTTGTCCAAAATGATAGCCGACGGTCTTAAATATGGAGTCATTAAACCAATTCAAGTAAAAGTTTTTTCAAAAACAGAAATCGAAGAAGCTTTTAGATACATGGCGAGTGGAAAACACATGGGAAAAGTACGCTAGTATTGATTAACAGTAGCATAGAGAATTATTCATAATAGTTTTACAGAACTTACCTATTTTACATACAATGTGCAATTTTAACATATAAATATATATTTTTATAGATAATTATAAAGATCCAGGAAAAGGATAAACCTCTAGACAAGCCCATTGTCGCATATCGTCGCTATTATTGTCTCAGAAATAAAAGTTATATTATATTGGGAGGTCTAGGTGGATTTGGTTTGGAGTTGACCGATTGGTTAATATTTCGAGGCGCCAGGAATGTCGTGTTGATATCGCGAACGGGAATGAAAAATGGGTATCAACGCAAGAAAGTTCGACTATGGAAGTCGTACGGTGTAAATGTGCTGATTATCAAGAATATCGATGTCGCTGATCCCAAGGACTGCGAATACCTCTTGCAAACTGCCGAAAGAAAAGCGCCGGTGGACGCAATATTTAATCTCGGTGTGGTGCTGAAGGATAGCATGTTGAAGAATCAAACCGCGGAGACCTTCGCGGAGTCCTTCCAATCGAAGGCTCGAGCAACGCAAACATTGGACAAACTTTCTAGAAAGATTTGCTCCCAACTGCGGCACTTCGTGGTATTCTCTTCTGCTGCCTGCGGTAGAGGAAACGCTGGACAGACTAATTATGGTATGGCCAACTCTATCATGGAGAGGGTGTGCGAAAAGAGAGCGGAGGAAGGATTACCCGGATTGGCGATTCAGTGGGGATCTGTGGGTGACGTGGGTATCGTCGCTGACATGCAGGAGAACGAGGGGAAGGAACTGATTACCGACCGCGTCGGCATCTTGCAGCAAACGATATCTTGCTGTCTCGACGAGCTCAATAAATTTTTAATTCAAAGCCGACCGGTTGTAAGCAGCATGGTCGTAGCTAAAAAGAAAACAATATCTTCTGAATTTAACAGTCTGATAAAAACTGTCGCCAATATTTTAGGTATCTGCTTCAAAGTATAATAGTATATTGTGCACCAAGGGGTGAAAGTAGCGTTTTTCAGACGAGTGTGAAGTTTGCCGCCCGAGCCGAAGGCTCGGGCGGCAAATCACACGAGTCTGAAAAAGCTTTCGCCCCGAGGTGCACACGATATTTTTCACAATACCTTTACGAAAAGTTCGACTTCCATGCCTAGAGAGAGGCAAAAGTGGTCAATTTCAAGCCAGGAATTACTTTCTTTCCTAGGGCGAAAAGTAACCACTTTCCGCCCTAGGACGGAAAGTGGTCACTTTCCTTCCTAGGGAAGAAAGTGGTTACTTTCCGCCCGCTATGCCGCCTTGGCATGAAATTGATCACTTTCGCCCCTCTCTACAGGCATGGAAAGTCGAACTTTCCGTGGAGGTGTTGTGAAAACTTACTTTTTGCATATACTTATTATATTTTTTATCAAACCAGTTTATGAGTAATACATTAAAAATCATAATAATTTTTTATATTACAGACATAAAAGACATGAAGTTTATAAGTCAAAATTCATCTCTGGTCGAACTTGGAATGGAATCCATGATAGCCGTGGAAATTAAACAAACTCTGGAACGAGAGTTTGACATTTTTTTGACTGCGCAAGAGATACAAAATCTCACCTTCGCGAAGCTTAATAAGATGCAATCATTTTGAATTTCGGTACAGTACTTCGACATAAAGTTGAGTTTAATTGGGGTCATGTGTGGTATACTACTGTAAAGTTCCGACTTCCTTCTATTTATTACATATACTAGCATGCTATCCTTCTTAGAGAGTATATGAAGTTATTGCAAACTATCAAATTGAAGATAGAAAAGAAGCAAATTCATACGATTATGTGAGTTCAAATTGGGTTGTAAAGCTTCGGAAATTGCACGCAATATCAACTAAGTAACATACAGTTCAACATTGGTCTCAAAAATTCCGTAGCAGAAACGAAAGCTTAGAAGATAAAGCGGGTTGGCCGCTGTTGATAATGATTAATAAAGAGCTATTATTCATGCGAATCCACTGAAAACCACTAGAGAGATTGCACAAATTATACTTAACATAAACAGACCATTCAATGAGCTGAGATATTCACATTTGAAGTTGAAGATTAAAAGCCGCAATTATTTTTGCACTAACCTAATAATATAAAACGTTGTTACATATATATTTATACAAAACTTATCTTCAGAAAAGGCTAAAAAAACGCATTAAGTGTACACACGCTAAACACAAAATCTTTATTTAAAAAAAATTTTGATCTAATTTGAGCTTATAATTCTATTTGTATTTTTACTACAAAAACAATGATATTAGAAGGTTTGCGCCAAGTGAATATAATAAATTAGTAACGTCTGATTTTCTTAATCATTGTTCTTTATTAGACTTGTTGTGTATCTGTTTTTTTTTTTAGAAACAGATATATACAACCTGCTGTTTTTTTTATTATTTAGATTTACATACAAGAAATACTTATTATGCCCCAAATATATATATGTTTATAGCATATGTCCCACAAAAACATAAAAAAGCACTTTTTGAAAAAAAGAACAGGTGTACAACAAGTATAAAGTAAAGTAATAAAGTAACATGATAAAGAAAATCAGACGTTGTTACCAATTTATCATATCCACTTCGCGCAAATTTTCTGATATTATTGTTTTTGTAGTAAAAAATACAAATCAACATTTCACACAAATCTGTCCATATAAATCTTGCAATATTGGGATTTAAAGGATTTGCTAACAAACCTTAGCAAACAATATTCGCCGGTAAACAGTAAAGCTGGTTTAAACTTGTCAACTTTTAATCCACAAACGCAGTCGAATGCTTCTGCGAGATATGTGGGCGTCATTGTTTATTTTTAAATCAATCATCTGACCATATGCTGAAGATAAGCGTATTTATCATATTTTACAAATCGGCTGATTAAATGGATACTTGGTGTTACGTGCGGAACCGCTTTCTCGGTCCTGCACTGTATTTGCCCGCCTAACAAAATTGATTACGGGACGAACTCGAGTTAACCCGCGAATATACCAATGCGTGAGCACAGCGGCTTAAGGCCGGCTATTGTAACCAGACCATTATACGAATGATATTGCTTGTAATATTGATATTATTGGGAAATTATAAATTTAGTAGAATACATGCGTTAGTAATGACATTGCTATTATAAAAAATATTCGTAAAAATATAAGTTAGTAGTAGAGGAGACCGGGGCGAAGTCGGCCCTATATTTTCGGTGCCAATTTTTAACAACAAAAATATCATTTTAGTGAAATATAGTATACCATTGTAAAGAGTGAACGCTTGGCTACAAAATTTATATAAGCATTTTTGGTTTACGTCGTTTTGTTCAACCGGTATAGAGTAAAAACGACAAAGGTGCAAAAATCGAAATGTCAAAATTTCCGGGGTGGAGTCGTGTCTTCATTCTCGGACTAAATTTTAAATAAAGATACATAATTTTGATCATAAAAAATAATAGAATATACTTTATTCATTGTTTTTTAGTAGAAAAATGGAAAGCGGAAAATAATTTCAAGAAAATTAATTTTTTTTTCGCTATTAATGTCTGAAACAGTTAAAGTATGTACGTGCTTTTGTACGTGCGATGGTATGTGCGTACCATTTTCCTGCAGTTGAGAAATACAATGACGCATTTGCAACGGAAAATAGAGTGAAACCACTGGGACGAGTCCGTTCCGGTGGTTTGGTCACGACTTCGCCCCGAACACAAGTGTTAGGTTTGGTTGCTTATAAAATAATAGAAATCAATGAAAATAAAAAAACTGCACTGGAATCGTGTTCAGCATGCATTACTCTTTAGAATCACTTACTTTGAGATTCGGAGAGACAATAATACTTAAGATATTACAAACTTTCGACGCGGAAGAAATTTTACTTTCGACCTGTGAAAACACGTTTGCTTCGATAAGAATCACAACATGTCACGAAACCTCACTAAACTCCGTGGTCACGTGGGCACCATAAGCCATGTTTACAGTATTAATGGCGAATTCACGCAACATACAGATTTCGAGATAATTGCAAAAACGACTCCGCCCCTAAGTCGACTTTGTCCCGGTCTCCCCTACGCATGTTAATGATAATGTTAGGTAAAATTAGTATTATTATTATTGAAAGAATATAGGACACATCAGAAAAAATTTAAAGGAACGTGGAAATAACAAGCATATATAATTTGATTGATAATTTCATTTATTGAGCGATCAAATTTATAGTCTGGACCGGCACACGACGCTCTCGGATAACCATGACATTCCAAATAGTTTCACGTGATGGTCTCACGTATTCACATGAACACCGTAGTCTCTTACCCCGAGACGTCACCAAACGAGTAGTACATATACAGGCCCTAGAATCGGGCATTCGCATTCTCTTCAATTTTATTTTCCGAATAAGTCACGCGAGATTAATATATTGAGAGCACCGCGAGCCGGGAAGGACTTAGCCGCGAGCCGCGAAGGACTTAGCCGCGAGCGAGTTTGATTTTTCGGAGAGCTGTTCCTCTTAGTTTCACGCGTCGTATTGTCGGTTTTCGATCTTTCCTAGCTGTAATACAGAGAAACAAAGTGAGGCCTGAAATAAATACTAGTTGTAGTGAAAAACATGACTTAATTTAGTTTGACCTAGTCTTCCACGATTTTTTACCTTTCACCTAGGTGTCGATGCGCGCCTCTCACAGGGCGTTCTTGACAGATCCTCAAGGCGATGCGCGTCTCTATCGGGGCGTTCTCTAGTCACCACTGTTTTTTCCTCGTTTCTAAAAATATTACATAAAGATAAATTATTGAACATCGATTATCTGTCTATCAGCTGCATGTTATTATAGGGTTCACCAACACAAATACACTCTCACAAGAACACATT